AAACACAGCCTATAACCTTAAGCTCTATTAACTAGTAGCGTTTCTTAGCGTCACTAAGTGTATAAGAAATAAATCTAATAGGTTATATAGTGTTATATAGAGGGTATTACTTTTAATCCTAGTTAGCAAGAGTAGTCTCCTTTACGTAGAAGACTTATACACCTATACTATCTACAGAAGCGTTAAACTTAAGGAAGAGCTACTACTTAGTATTAAAAGGGTTAGCACTATAGGAGTAGTTATTACTATCTTTAACTAGTTAAAGGCGTTAATCTCCTTTATAGTAAGTAATAAAACGTTAACTAATTTTACTTATACGTTATAGGCTCCCTTTAGTATCTTGCCTAGTATAGGTTTTCTATCTTAATCTCTTTTGTAATACGTACGCACTAAAAGAGCCTTAAATTCTTCTAGTGGTTATATAATAGTAGCATATTATAGAATATAATAACGTAGTAAACTGCTAAGACTAAGGAAGTGCTCTAGTGCCTTTAATATCTTAGGAAAGTCAATACCTCTAATAGCCTACAGCTTCTTGTCTAGCGTACTAAGTCTAAATAAGTCGACCATCTTGCCTAGGACAATCGCTATAGGAAATCCAACATTATACTTATTAGCTCCTAATACCACGTTTGCCTTAGTTAACCTCTAAAACACCTGCTTTAGGTCGTTAATATGTTAGTTAATACCTCTAGGTAAAGCGACTATAATGTTAATATAGTAGGAGTTAGCAATAGTGTCTTTAAGAATAATATCTATTTAACGCTAAATATATACATTATAGTTCTTAAATCTTATAACTAGATATTAAAAGGTAAATTATCCTCTATAAGTAATAATAGTAAATACCTATTATAAGCTTAGGTAAACTCTCTATTAGTAGTAGAATACTATAGTATTAAATATTAAAATATACGTTATATTAGTACACTTACTAATAATTTTATCTTATATCTTTATAAGGTATACGTTAGTAATAACTACGCTATTTAATAGTTAAACGTCTATAACTATATAACCTTTCTTAGACTTATTATTATTTAAGGGTTTAGATAGGTTAGGTTTAGTTATAGGGGATATTACCAGCTACAGCTTGTCTACATAAGGTGTTATTAGTTATTATTAAGCCTTCTTTTTCTATTATATAGCCTTATCTATTAATTATCGCCAGACTATAAATACTAGATATATAGCTAGCACCTATTTATCTATTTAGTATATCTTATCTGCTTTATCTAGTTTGTTAAGTGTATAGTTAATAACACCCCTTTCCCTTAGGCTAGCTAGATAGATTTTATACTTATAAGGTAGTAACTTATACTAATCTAGCTTAAAAAAGACTTATATTTACTAATCTTTAGGTATATTAGTAAAACTATTACTTTTAAAGATATATTTATAGCAGTTAAGTAGCTAAAGAAAGCTTATTAGCATCTAGTTACCTATCATAAATCTTAACGCTAGTAAGGTATATTACTATCTGTTTTTATTACTAGATTAGCGTAGCGTAGATAAGTCTAGACTTTAGGCGTAACAGCTTCCTTAGTGCTATCCTAGTAGCAGCTTTACGTTATTCCTTCTTAACTATATAGGCTTATATTAATAAGTTAATTAAGACTAAATAGCTAAGGAATTATTAGCAGTAGATAGTTAAGTGCTTATTAGTTTTATTATAGATTATAATATAATCTAAGCCTATATCTATAAGTAGTATATATATAGCTACTAATAGGTTAGTTAGCTTAAACAGTAGGTCCTGTTATATATTACGTATTAAATAAATAATAAGTATAGTTATAAAAGACTATAGTAGTATTATAACTTACTGTTAGGCTATAACCCTTACTTAATATTAGGTGTTATTATACTATACTGCTATAAGGATTCTTACGTTATAAGATATAATAATAGTATATCCTTTACTATTAAAGATATTAAATTATTCTAGTCTAAGGCAGTCTATACTAATAAATATATTAGCTATAAGGTTATCTACTATAGCTATCTCTTTAGTAAATAATACTATTACTAGTTAGTCGTCTAACTAACGTTATCCCTAGAAGTAGAGATCTATAACTACATAGTCCTATGTAGCGTAAATATTATTACTAATCCCTTATACATTTAGTAGAACTAACTATATATAAACTTTAAGTGCTAGGTAGTGTTTATATAGGAATATCCTATTAATAAAAGAAGTTAAATAACCTATATTAGTATAAACGTCTATCTAAGTAGTATAACGCTATAGGTTAGGCGTAATCTAGTAGCATAGGTATAACTAGGACCTAAATCTAAAACTAGCGCTAATTTAGGTTATTAAGTTAACCTTAGACCTAATTATAACTAGTAGTATAGTTAATATATTTATTAGTTATACTGATATAGCCTTAATATTGCTATAAAAGGCATAGCTCCCTGTTTTACGTTAGGTAATACTATAATATATCTATATATAGTTATATAACTAGTTATTACTTAGGAATATCTCTACATACTAATTATATATATATTAGGTAGTAAGGTAAGGTTAATAAGGGGCAGAACCTACTATAAACTATATATTACTGCTATTAGTATAGTCTATAAATAGGTATAAATCACTTAGTTTAATCTAGTCTACGTTTACTTTATTATAGATTATCTAGTTATAGTCGTTATAAGTTAGCGTGTTAACCTTACCCTATTTATTTACTACTATTAGGGATTTATTATACACACTTAATTCTCCTTTAGTTACTAGTTTATTACTATAGTAAGCTATAGCCTATAGCTATCTTAAAGCGTTAATTAGCGCTTAAGGTCTTCTATTCTACCTAAGCTATCTGTTTTTAGGCACTAGTGTATTATCTAGACGTTACTAGTAGTTATAATAGTTATTATTATATATCTAATTTTAAGGCTAAGGGAACCTATTAAATTAGTATGTAGTAAGAAACCTAGTAAATTAATTTAGCTAACTTTAGGGTAGTTAGAAGCTAGTTATTAGTTATAGTGTTTATAGCTATATCTATAACTATAGTAGTTATACACCTAGTAGTAATCTCTATATATTATTTTATCTAAAGTTATAGTTACTAGTAGGCTAACGTTAGTTATACTAGTTAGTAGTGTTTTAATATATAAGCATAAGAGGACGTAAAAATCGTCCTATAGGGGGTGTTACTACTATCTTACCTAGGTACTAGGCTAGCTAGTTTTAACGAGTAGTGTGTTCTACAGCTAGTATAGTTATAGCTAATTTATAGTTTCTAACCTATTAGAGAAAGTTATCTAATATAGAAGATTATATAGGAGGAGGGATAATACTCTTAATAGCTTTATTAAATAATTTATAGATAGCCCTTAATTAACTAAGTATGTTAGTAATACTATAAGCCTTTATGTTATAGACTATAGTCTAAACGTATATAAGAATATCCTTATATAGTTATATATTATAAATACTATAAGATACCTACTTCTATTACCTTATAGCTTTACTATAGTGTAGCTAGAAGCGTTCTATAAGCTTAGATAAAATAGTATTAATTATTACTATATAAAGTAAGTTATAGTTAGTCTATATAATAATCTATAAGTACTAAACTAATGTAAGGCCTTAAAGGCATTATATCTATACGCTATAAACTTATTTATTAGATTTAGTAACCGCTAGGTCCTTTAGTTAATCTATAAAAGTAAACACGTTAGTATATATAGTTAACTTACTATTAAAGACTATACCTAATCGCGTTAGGTCTTAAGCGTTAGGATTAAAAATACCTATATATTAAGGACTTAGTATTCTATTATAAGCTATAGTAAAGGCAGCTAGTAAGTGTATTAGTAATCTATTTCTAAGTATATTTACTACTATCTATACTATATTTACTATAATAGTCTTACACTAGCTTTATAAGTCCTTATTAATATTATAGTAGAAGTTTACTATTACTATATCTAATATAGCTATAGCTATCTCTATAGTAAGCAGTTAGTCTGCTATAGTAAGTAACTTATCTATTCTTAAAGAGGGAGAGGATATAATAAGTCTAGAAGATAATACTCTACTAGTTATAGTGTAAACAGGTCTAGCCTGTTAGGCTTACTTAACGTCCTAGTGCTCCTTAGGCTTAGGATAGTTAGTTAGTGTAAATAATAACTAAGAAGGCATAGAAATAGCCTAGTGTAGTCTGCCCTTAGTAAAGTCTAGTAGACTAATATAAATATTACTATCTAGTGTAGTTAGATCTTCTAAGGTTTAAGGGACTAATAGTCTAATAAGGTCTAACTTACCTAGGCCTTATGTAACCTCTATGATTTACTTAGCAGAGGGGTATACAGTAGTAAGCTTATTTAGTGCTATAGGGGGTTTAGTAGTAGTCTTATCTTAGTTACTACTAGTTAGGTATATTAAGGACGCTTATTACTACCTAGTAAGGAAAGATAGAAGGGCCCTCTTTAACTCTACCTACTTAGTAAGTTAGTCGTTATTAAAGTAGGTAGGACGATCTAGATTATATAGGATAACCTTTAGCAGCCGCTAGGCTGTAGCCTTGTTGTTATCTATAACAATAGGTAGGTTAGCGTCTTCTACAAAGCGTAGAAGTTCTCTAGTCTGTTAACAGAGCTCGTCTATAGACATAAGGGGAGAAGTGCCTATAAGAGGTAGCAGTAGATAGATATTATGTTATTAAGCAGGGGGAAAAGTAGATAGTAGTTAGTAGAGGGTAGTTAGTAGGTAGTAGTGTTTAGTAGTAGTGTTAGGTTAACGTTATGTAAGTCAACAATAGGGCAAAAGCTAAGTGGCGCATGTACCTAGCCTTCTGTTTTTGTTATCCAAAGGCTCCTATTAGTGGTGGTGGGCCCGGATCTTTTTTCTGGTTGTGCTACCAATTGTCATGGTTTAGTGGTGTGTATGTAGTTGATTGATCTATCTGTTACTGTATGGTGGATTGGCTGTCTTATGTAGCCCTTGGGCTTACGTAACATGTCCTTTAAAAGAGTGTATATCAATTTCAAGCCGCCAATACGTTAACTGTCAGGCCAATGCTGTGCACTCCGCTGGGAGCCACGGCGAAGTAGTACCAGAAGCCGGGCGGAACAACACCGTTATCATTGGGAATAGACAGCGCCACAGTGTTGCCATTAGTCGAATACACCGTGAGCGGGATGCGGCGCTGATCAGTGTCTATCGAATGCGTGCCGGAACCCATCCGAACGAGGACGTGACCGAGATTGGCTCCTGACGAACCCAGAACGACGGTCAGTTTGCCGCCGGGTGAGACCCTGACCTGATTCCCCGACTGCTGGCTGGCGGAGATTGAGCTGATTTGCGGACGCGTGGCTGGGTTGCCACGGGCATCGAACATGTATGGCGGCGTCCAGAATTGCAGGTCCGGGTGGTTGCCACTGTTGCAGCCGCCCCCGACGTAGCAGAGGCCGCCGCCGCCGTTCATGACCCGGCCGTCAGGAAGAAGAAGACCTGTGGAGTGATAATTGCGGGGAACTGCCAATGCTGCAACGGGCGTGAAGGTGTTCGCCACGGGGTCGTAGACTTCAGCCTGCAGAACACTCAGGGTATCGGTGAAGCCAGCCGCATACGCCTGTCCGCCGGTGACAAAGACCTGGCCATTAGGCAAGACAATGGCCTGGGCGAAGATTCGGGCGTATTTCGCGTTGGGCAGCTGCTGAACTGTAGGCGACTGGTTGACGCCATTGAGCGTGATACGATGGGCAGCGTATAGTGCTTTATCATCGCTGTAGCTCTGCGCGCCGCCGGCCGCGAAGATTTTACCCGAGTCGTACATGACCGTAACGCCGCACATCTGATCGTTCTGCGTATTGCGCTGCCCTGCGCCCTTGACGGATCCCTGGCCGGACGTGCTGTACCAGTTCATGTTCTTACTGGGACCGGCTTGGAAGACAGAGCCGTTGGACCAGGCGTAAAGCCAGGCGTGGTTATCGGTTCGCCAGGCCCCGGCATTGTCGTAGGTGGTCAACATCGGCGCGACGAGCGCGCCGGGAAGAGCCGTCCATTTGTTGAGCTTAGGATCATAGACCTCACCGTTTTTCATTGGTGTGCCATTCTGTCCACCGATGCCACCCGTGTAAGATCCTCCAATCGTAAATCCACGTCCGTCGGAGAGCGTGACCGAGGACTGATAGCCACGACCCATGTTCATGTTGGCCGCGCGAGTCCAGGTGTTGGCGAAAGGATCGTAGATCGTCACGGCCGCGTCGGTGTTTCCTCCATTGATGACCAAACGTCCGTCGGCCAGGTGATTCATGCCTGGGCAGAACATGTCGTGCTTGGTCTCCGCGACGTTAAACTGGCTCGCTGCGCTCGATTTGATGTTGTATCTCATGAAGGCTGTGTTGAAGTACGCCGGCCCCCCCCCGAACGTGAAGGGGCTGAAGGAGCTAAATGACAGGAAATCTTGCACGACTGGGTATGCGGGAACCAGGTAGGCCGCCACCGGGTTCAACGGCAGTGTCTGGATGGGACTCCATTGGCCATTTTGCGAGAGGACCGCGGGCGCAGCGTATGACGTGGGGACTATCTTGAAAGTCGTGTAGGCGTCGTATTGAGTCCAGTCGGACTGGAAAGGGTACCCCTTGGACCAGCACATTCCATTGTTGGGTTGATATTGCCCCAAGTAGCAGCCTGGCGTCTTGCTGCACCACTCTATGCACGCGTTCTGACTCGGCTGCCAGCTCGAGTCGATGTTATCGACACCATAGTTGGAGTATGGGCAGATCTCATATTGTACACCGTTCTCGGAAGTGTACAGAGTCGCGCCGGATGGGCACCGTTCCACGATACTGACCCCGTTCTTGACACGGAAAGGAACGGCAGCAAGGGTCCAGTAATAATTGGACTGTTTCATGTTTGCATTGGACGGCGAGCCCTTGAGGTGGCACATCGCCCTCGGCGGCTCGTACACCACTTTTGTGCATCCCTGCGTCTTATCGCAGATCTCGGCGCAGCTTTTAATGTCGTACGCCTGCAAACTCTGCAGGTTATCAATGTTGAAGTCCGAGAATGGGCAGATCTCGTAGTACGTCCCCTTCTTCGAAACGTAGTACGTCTGTCCGCCAAGACACTTCCCATTGGTGGATCGGCCAGGCTGCAGGGTGTAGAGCTGAGTGAAGGTCGAGTAGTACCTATCAACAAACATCCGCGGGTTCTGTGTAGGCACTTTCGGATGACACAAGCCAGGCTCGTAGACCACGCTCTGGCATCCCGAAGTCTGTGCACACGTGTCAGCGCACTGCTGCAGACTCCTGACGGCGATCGTCTTGGAGTTGTCGTAGGGGTAGTTCGAGTTCGGACAATAACTAAAGACTTGATTGTTTGACAAGAACGTCGACTGGTTGAACGGACATGCTTTCTCAATGATTGAACCCGGAGCCATGGGATAGACGGCGGTGATTGTGGTATAATAGTTGCTCTTAATCCACTTCGGATTGGCAGGGGCGCCCTTCAGATGGCACAAGCCTGGCTCGTATACGACATTGACGCAGTTGGTGGTGTGGCTGCATAGCTCGGCACAAGTGGGCTGATCCGGTACAGCGGTGCTGGCGAGGTTGTCGACGTTGTAATCAGAGTTAGGGCAGATCAGATAAACAATATTATTAACAGAAGTATAGGTCCAGCCGCCTGCAGGGCAGCCTCCCGTGATTGACTGAGCGGCCGCCCCGGAACCCCGCAGGTCGACGAGCAGCAGAGCCAGGCTCGCTACAGCAAGAGACTTCATTGCAAAGGAAAGCAAAACAGACGATAATAGAGACTGTGTGAAGGAATGTTGCTGCCAGACTCAGACTTGCAGAGGAGCGGTCTCCTCTCAGGATAATATACACCAGTGGTACTCTCTTCCGGCTGTCACGGGCCAGATAATGTAGATTCATAGCCCCTACCCCGACATGGCAAAGCCTCTTATCTAGCTCTTGTTCTTTGAGCGGTACACCTCTGCTAGCATGGACATTGTGCAAAATACGCTGCTCTAGTACGTGATTAGAAAGTGCCGCATGAAACGTCGCTTGATCAAGAATGTCTTTGACAGATCTGGGTTACCGGTAGAATGACAGAGCAATTTAGTTAGCAGCTAGCGATCTAACCTAATCCGAATAAATAATCTTCTGTGACCCTAAATTTAGCTAGCCTAAACGTTTAGGACAGTGAATAATCGAACCCGCCGGGCTAGTTTCTCCTCTTGGCGCCCCTGAGCCATACATGCCCTCCTTCCTAGCTAGGGTTAACCTACTAGCCGCTAACCAAATAGCTCCAGCAGTCTACTAGTAGCTAGATCTAGAGCGCCTCCGGCTCTACTGTAACCACTTAGATAAGTGCACTACTGATCATATACTAGTGTGCTCTATAACTGTTAGCGGGAGCCGAGTCCAAGCACTGCGGAGTGTCTGTTAGATCTTTCAGGCGAACGGGATGGGTGAAGTGAGTAAGTGCTCTGCCTGAAAGACCGAAATGTTGACGCACCGCCGCTCTGCGCAGATGGCACAGCACAGCGCCGGCACCTTGGCATGGTGTCTTTGTGTAAGATCTGTGACTGCCGGAATACGAGCATGGGACGGATTAGCCGCTGCATGACTAGGAAACATCAGCACAATATCAGCCGGAAGACCTAGGCGCAGAACGACATTGACACGAGCGTGCTTCTCTAGAGTTGGAGAGAAAATGCGACCGGAGGTTACTGGATTCTTGTGTCGATAGGGGTTTCCCCACGACGTCGTTGCAAAATGGCTGCCTTTTAACAATAGGGGCGTATAATAGACTAGACAGACTGCTTTTATATATCTAAAACGCACTTTCTAAAAAGTAATGAGCTGTGTTTTGTTTTAGGCCTATTATTGGTCTGTGGTAGACTAATTAAGGGTTTTATAAAAACACAAAAGCAGTCACCACGTCGTGTCCGCTACGTGCAAAGAGTAGTAATTAATAACATATTAATATAGTTGTTAACAGTACTAGACTTCTGTTAAATATGGCGGAATTACACGTGAATTAACCGGCAAATGCACGGTTGCCCTACGGCGAATTGTCAGGGAATGGGCGGTGAATTGGCCCCACTTCTAGTAGTAACTCCACCAATAATATCGCCAGGATTAGCCGGGGATTTCCTAACTAAGAAATAGGGGGTTTTCCCTATTTCTATAGTAATTCACTATAGATATATAACATAATTAATTAAGTAACTATTATAATCTCTACTATTTAATAATTAATAGTCTAATACGTACGTCTATAATAACTAATATACCTATTTACTAATTAAATACTATTATAATAATAAATAAGAACTATAATAATAAGGTAACTATCCTATAATTATATAGTAATTAGTTTATATAGCTTAACGCTATTTAAGTAAAGGCAAAGCGTTATAATCTCTAGGACTATATTAACCTAGAGGTTATAGTAGCAGACTAATTAATCCTTAAGATATATCTAAAGAAACTAATAAAGCTGCTTATAACGTAATATTTATACGCCTTAACTAAGAATAAGCTTACTACTTACTAAGAGGTTACTATAGCTATAGTAATTACTAAGATATTCTAGTAAGTAACTATATAGCTATATATAGTAAGAAGTAAGGCTATTATAACTATACCTAATAGGCTTATATATAAAACTAAACATATAATAACGCTAGATAATCTTAACCTATATAATCTTATGTACTTAAATAGTAAGATAAGCTACTATTATAAGGAAGTCTATAAGTATACTACTTAGTAAAAGGACGTTAAAGACGTAGCTAACGTAGTTAAATCTACTATATCTATAGATCTTAAAGAAAGATATTATAAATCTAATAAATTACTAGCTAAATAGCTTAATAAGCTTAGTATAGCAGTAAGAATAACTAAAGAAAAGCGCATAAAGTACGCTTATAATAAATATAGTAAAGTGTTAGTAAAAGCTTAGCAAAAGGCCTTAACTATTAAGAAAGATCTTACTATATAGCTTAATAAATAGAACGTAGCCTATAGTAAATTAATATAAGTTAATTTACCTAACTACTAATAGCTATTAATCTAGTTTAATAACCTTACTACTATATTATAAAGTAGGGCACTTAGCGCCTAGCTAGATTTATATATAGTAATAAGTAAAATAATAAGTAATTAGAATAATCTTAACTAGTAGTCTCTTTATAAGATAGCACTAGAGAGAGTTAAAGCCCTTACTAATAACTTACTATATTATAGCTAAGCAGGCTGTAGTATATTTAGCCTAACTAGAGGTAATAATAATAATAGCCTAATATATACTAAAGGCGTAGCAAAGGATAGTAAATTTAATAATAAAAGGCATTACTACTAACAAAGTATAAGTAAAAAGGTAAAGTGCCTTATATACTTTAGCGCTTATTTATTATAACTTTACTACTTTATAAATAAGTTATAAAAGCCTAATAATTAGCAGGTAAATATGTAACGTTAGTAATAGATTAATAAGTATATTATAAGTAATCCTAACCTTACTAAATAAGTGTAGAGAATTAAGGCTAAGTTATATTAACTATATAGTAGATACTATATAAAGGTAGCCTTTTATACTACTTTATAAGGCTATAAGCTAGGTAATTTAGCCTTACTTAATTTAAATACTACTAACTATGTGTTTAACTATATATTATAGTTTATTACGTTAGTAGTAGCCCTAATTAGTAACTATATTTAGGGTAGTACTACCTAAGTTATAATTAAAGGATATAGTACTATAGAGATTACTTTAAAGGGCGCTAATAGCTTACTAATAAAGCTTTATATATATAACGTAATATATTATAGTATATTTACTATATTACTTATTTCTTTTATAAGGCTACGCTAGTAAGGCATATAGTAGGATATAAGCTTATATAATAATTACCTAAGGCGTATAGATTACAGCCTTATAGGCTATATTAAGGAATAAGCTAACTAAGAAGTGCTTAAATATTATAAGTAATATAGCTATAGCTAAGAAAGTAAAGGCGCTTTTACTATACACTCTACTAATAATTTACTACTAACCCTATAAGTAAGAAATAAATATATAACGTTAACGTAGTAATAACTACTCTATAGTAATATAATAATATAGTATAAGCGTCTTAGCTACTTAGGTGCTAAGGCTTTATAAAGGATTATAAATACTATATATTAAGTACGTCTAACCTAAGTTAACACTATAATAATATAAGACTATAATTTATATAGTCTTAGTAAGATAAGGTAGTAGATTTACTACTAGCCTTATAAATCTATTATAAATATAGCACTAGGTAATTACCTAGCGCTAGACTTTTATAATCTTAAATAAGGCTACATAAGATACTACTTAGTAATAATAATCTTAGATTAGGTAATAGGCCTTATATAGGATTTCTACCTATATAGCTACTACTAAGATACTATTAACTTAATAATAAGGGGCTTCCTTATAATACTAAAAACTAAATATTTAATTATACTAAAAGTTATAAAGGCTAACTAAGAAATCCTATGCCTTAAGCGACTTATAGATACGCTTTTTAATTATAGAATCTTTATTAAGCTATTAGTAGTAAATACCTAGGCTTAAAACAGTAGCGCTAAGTAAATTACTATAATTATTAAACTTAAGGGGTAATATATATAGATTAACATAAAATTACCTAAAGTCCTATAGCTTAAACTTATAACTATAGCTATATACCTTTATAATTAAACGCTATTAGCAGCTTAGGGGTAGAAATCCTTATATTAATTATTTTACTTATATTTTATACTTAATAAGCACGCTAAGCCTTTACTAATAGTAAAGCTAGAACTTTTATATCTATAAGCCTATAGATACTAAGCGTATATACTAACAGTAGACGTATAACTATTATAAAACTACTAGTAAAAGCTTACTGCCTGTATATAGATTAGATTCCTTATTAGGTATATATCTAGTAATTATATTACGTCTAGTATCTAGTGTAAAATAAGGTCTTTACTATATATAACGTAATATTTAATAAAAAATAAATCTTTAATAAATTAATAAATAGATTATTTAATAAGCTTTATAAAGCTAACCTTATAGTAATTTAATAACAAATTAATAAGCTAATTATAACTAGTAATTAATCCCTATTATATAAAGAAGCTAATAAAGAAATAGATAAAGTAATTAAGTACACTAATATTACTTTACTAGGCGCTCTATAATTAGGTAACGCACTAGAATATCTATATAAGCAGGCGAAATTTACACTTCTCTTTACTTTACTACTATTACTACTAAGCGCCTTTTTTATAGCTTTTATAGATATTAATATAAAGGGTAGTAAAATAGGAACTAATAGTTCTAAATTAATTAATCTAATAGCTAATAGCTAAATACTTACTAATAGTAAAATAATTAATAAGTAAATACCTAAATTAATAGCTAATAGCCTATTAAGTAATTTATTAATAGCCTATAGCCTATAAGCTAGTAACTTACTTAAGGTAATTAAAGCTAATAATAGTTTAAATAATTTATTAATAGCTAATAGCCTATAAGCTAGTAACTTACTAAGAACTAATAGTTCTAAAGTAATAAGAATAGTACTCCCCTATACCTTATCTTATCCCTATATAATTAATTTATAAGACGTTACTAAGCGTAAAAAGGTGTTAAACTCCTAAGTAACTACAGCTAGCCTATTAGGTAATCTCTAGCTAGTAGTAACCTTATTTAAAGGCGTTATAAAAGGGTATTATCCTTCTGCGTATATAG